AAAAAAAAAAATATGACTAAATATTGAAACTATGATTTCTTTTGTGTTCAAGAATGATAGTAGGTGATAGTAATAAACGATGCACACATATTTGCCCCTTGAGGCAGAATAATGACGAAAAGTTAAGATCCCCGTACTTTCTATGATTACCTGATAATTATAAATACCTTCCCTTCACAATTGTTACCATGCCCCCATCAGTGTTGTACCACTTCTGTGTTTTCATTCATACTGTTCTATGGTGAGGATTAATGCTAGTGGTTGCACAGACTACTAGTTAGTTGAAATATTAAAAAACTGTTTTTTTGTTTGCTTTTTTTATCTACAGGCTCCATGTGACAATGGTTCCAAAATTCAAAACTACATACTCCAGTGGGATGAGGTAATTTTTTTTTTTTTTATCTCTAAAGAATTGATATTTGTGTTCAACTAGTATTCCAGTTTCTTAAGTTAAACACTTCTTCTTTAAAGGGGAATGGCACTGGTGTTTATGAACAGTGCTACTATGGACCTCAGAAGCAGTACAAAGTGACCAAGCTTTCTCCAGCTTCACGATACTCTTTCCGCCTTGCAGCCAAAAATGACATGGGTACAAGGTAGGTGCATTAACGTCCTATTATCTCCTGAATGGCACCCTCCCTGTTGTCCGTTATTATATTGCTGTTTCTTCCATCCACTGTCTTCATCTATGTCTGTCTCTCACTGTGTTTCTTCTGTCTCTCTCTCCCATTCTTTCCCATCCACCATCTCTCTCTGCCCTCCCCAGCGAGTTCAGTGAAGTGGTGGACCTGTTCACCTCATGCAGTGTGCCATTGCCACCCTTCCCTCCAGAGCTGGAGATGGCGGGGGTGACCTGGCTGTGTCTGAAGTGGCAGAGGCCTGCTAGCTCTCCAAAGGAGGATGACATCTTTTATACTTTGGAAATGGAGGAGGAAGGCTCGGTATGTCTCCTGCGTAAACCTAAAATCATCTGATCATGTGAGATTGTAGCTCATGTATGAAACAGCAGTATATGCAGACACTGTTTTCTGTAAAATATTATGTTTTTCCCATCCACGTGAAGTGCCTCCCGTTAATGCATACAGGCATCTCTTAGACTGCTGTGTTTCCAGTTGTGTTGCCATCTTGAGTTTGTGAAAGAGTATAAAATATGTACATTTTCCACATTTTGTTGCGCTTAGACTTACCTTAATTCTTTGTCCATTGTGTCCTACTTCTGTTGGTGTTCCTAAGATTCGTTCTGTGCCTAATTGAAATAAATTAATATTAAACAGATGTAACAGTCTGTATTAGGTCTCACAGTTGATGATGTCAGAGTTGGAAACTAAGCAGTGAGGTCAAAAAAACATGCCCATAGACTTGCAAGAAAGGGTTGACTCAATCCACGGATGTAGGAAAGGATACAAGAACATTTAAAAAGTGTTAGGTACTCGAGAGTAGGTTGTCTCCATTGAAGGTGGTTTCTCATACCTTTTAAAAATAATGGTAAGTCCATCCTTAATCCTGAATCACAAGAGTCACAGCTACCAGTTAAAGGTTTAAAGAAAAATTGGAGCAAGAGGGCTTGGTAAGACAGGTAACACCGAAGCCAATTGATTTTTATTTTATTTTATTTTTTTCATTTTATTTTGGCTAGGTTAAAAAGTTGACATATTTGTAGTTTTGTTGCTTTTGCCTGTCCCTCTAAACGTAGAACCAGACGAAAGCTTCCGTAATCCCTGCAGCTATTGCTCCTGCAGACCACTTTGCTTTCTGTGCTACAGTGGTTGTCTTGAAAGCCATTGCTCACCTGGTTGTTTTCCTCCTCCCTTTGTCATTTGTCTTTGTCTCAGGGATATGGCTTCCAGACAAGCTACAACGGTGACGAACTCTCCTTCACCGTTAGAAATCTCCACAGGAGCACCAAGTACAAGTTTAGGGTAAGGGAGCCCAAAGACTGACTTTGGTCCTTTTGGTTGTACTTTAATTTGAAATAAACAAAATCATATCTTTTAAATGAAAATATTAAAAGACTGCAGATCATAAATGTAGAACTTCTGAAATTTATGCTCAGGGATGCAGTGAAGCATTCCTGTCCAACATTTTGGAAAAATGTTGAGGTTAACAAATTCTGAATAAGCATATATTTATGTTTATTTATTTATTTTTAAAGCTTCAATATTTGATATGTTGGCTTGGGAATTATTTGCTCATTATTATTATTATTATTATTATTATTATTATTATTGAGTGTCCCAATGATTTTGAGAACAAGGTTGTGGAGTGTGTATGGAGAGGAACAGCTTTTAGGCGGGGAATTTGCTGAGTTCAATGTTGACCCTGTGAGTCATCTGTTTTGCAAGATTCTGCTAGCAAAGCGGTGGGCAGCTGACAACATCAACAGGAACAGCCAATGAGAAGCTAGTTGTGCAAAGTGTTTGAGCCACACAAGTTTTTTGGGCCGGCAGTAATGTTAGAACCTTTGGACAAATAGTTGCCTGTGTCTTCTTCCCTATATATCTTTCTCTTTCACACATTCCCAGATTCCCAGTCTTTCCCATTCTCCCCAACATTATTAGTCTCCTATTTAATTTTTGAATGTTTACTAAAGAGTTTTGAGCTCAAAGATTAATAATTGGTTGAAATTAAACTGAAGATGTGACGCCTGCTTGAGATGTATGATCCATATCTTTATATAAAATAGTGTGTGTTCAATAAATCTGTAAGATTAGCTTTTCTAAATATTTGTAGCGTGTTAGACGTCTTAAATGAGTTTTGTCTAAAACACAGTTCCATATCCTGTAAACATTGTTGTTTTAGTGTTGATTACAGCAATTTGTAAATGTTCTAAACGAAAATGCTGTTTAGCCTTGTTTGAGCAGTTCTGAAAGATATAGATCCCACTTTTAAGAGGTATACTGTGCCCTGTTAAACTAAACATTTCTCAGAGATGGCATCATCTCAGCTGTGACGTTAGTGAGTTCTTAGCTCGAATCCATCTTTAAAAATATCATTTTTGCCCAGCATTTTCACCGCAGACATCCAGACGTTCAGACATATAAACACCTGCCCAATTTCCCCAAACTATCTTTGTGGTTGTTTCTACTACACTGGTTGTCCTCAGAAGGAAGTGGTGGGTTTCTGGTTTTGGTGCTAGAGGCAGCAGTGCTGATTGACAAAACATATAGAAGACATTCTTTTAATTCAGGTGAACTGCTTTTGTGGTATTTCCTTTGGAAAAAAAAGGTTTATTACATAAGTTCCTCCATACGACTGTATTTAACAAGTGTGTCATATTCAGTTAGCTAAGTAGCTGTACTCCTAAACTGCAGTTGCACTAGATCACAGGTGTTCAGTGTGTCTCCCCTCTCATAATAACTGTTATTTTTCTGCAGCAGGTGACAGTAACAGGTGCTATTTTTCTGCTCTGTATTTCAAGAGCAAGAAATCCCAATTAATTAATAGACTGGTAATAGAATTTATAAGCTTTACTCACATGGCCATACGAATCCACACCACAGCATTGCTAAGCATGAAACTGTCAGAAAAGTATCACATAAACAAGCCGCCATATGGCTAAATGATAGAAATATTCATTAGCCAGAAATCCTCACTCCCTCATTTCCAATTTTCCAGCTGCACATTGCGAAGGCAGGCTATGCACTGTGCAGGTTTGTTTGGTACAATACGTGGATGAACGCTGCTCAGCGTGCTCACAGAGATTTCGATATTATAGCCGAAGCGGCAGAGAAATGCAAATCCCAATAAAGCTTATTGTCTCATTTCATGATTGCCTTTTGAATTGACAAAAATAAAACCTGTTTAGACACCACAAGCTCTGCAGAGTCATCTCTTTCATAATGTGCTATTTGCCTGAGGCCATTTTAGTTGCAGGCATACTGTTTACTTTGTCTCATGGATCTGGTTGGTGGTTATTATCAGGGAAAAATAATGATCTTTATACACTTTACTACCTAGGGGGAAAAAATTATTAATTTCCTGATAGGAGTTTATTATTTATTTATTTGTGCATTTCTGCACCTCCTCCAGGTGGCGGCATACAACTCAGAGGGCAAGAGCAACCCTAGCCAGGTGGTCGAGTTCATCACAAAACCAGATATACCTGGCTGTCCCTTCAAGCCTGTCATCAGAGGAAGAGTCCTGCCCAACAGCTTCAAAATGGCCTGGGGTAAGTTTTCTACTAGTTGCCCTTTTGACTTATTAAAACCTTTCACTCTTCATGTAGTTGACAGCCTGGCAAGTCCAGTTTGTAAGTTCATTTTTCTGACTGAGCTCTGCCTGGACCTATGTGACGGATGACATCCCAGGCTGTCTGTACTATAGATGATTGACAATTCTCTTCTCTTCAGACCTAAGCATGAATCCTTCATACACACACCTCACTGGACAAACACATCCATCACCGCTGTACGTGTCTGTGCTTCCAGATTTCAAAATACCATTAAAAAACAAGTCTGCAGTTGTGAAGATATTTTCAAATGTTTCTGTGCACTAAAATGAGTTTCAGAAGAAAAAACAAGGCAACATCCTTGGCCAATCATGCAAATCAAATTTCGTAGATTCATAGCACACTTTTAAAATGAATTAATATATTTCAGGTGGATAAGTAGTCAACCCTTTTGGGGACATAATGATTTATATAGAAAAATAATTATTTTAATTATGTGCTTGTGTTAAAATTTAGAACCCCCTAAAGATGATGGTGGCTCAGAAATCACTAAGTATGTTGTGGAGCTGTCTGAAGGCACAAGTGGTAAGTTCCTCATGGTGACAGTAATAATTTACATAATTTAATAATACATGATTTCATTTATTGAAATCATTTTAATGTAATTAAAATGGTCTGTGCGTGCGTGCGTGCGTGTGTTTTTTGTTATGTTTTTTCTTAGGCTCACCGTGGGGGCAGGTGTACTCGGGGCCAGCTCTGGAACATGTGTGTGAGGGCTTGAAGCCCGGCTGCTCCTACCAGACGCGAGTTTACTGCATGAGCGAGGGGGGGCAGAGCCCGGTGAGTCATTCAACGTCAGTACACGTGTGCACATGGTTGCGCACATAGCCTTGTGTTTCACCACAGGAATTCAGAGTTTGATGCATCAGTTACATATTTATTTGATTGCAGGGAGAAAAGGGAGGGTAATATGTTGTTTTTTCGGTGTTTTTTGTTTTGTTATGCTTTTTTTGTTTTTGTTTTTTAAATGATTTGCATACACGTGAACTGAGATTACTGTTAGAAACATTAGAAAAATGTAACAGACATTTATTTATCTTATAAAAACTTTCAGATTATTATTAATATTATTATTATTATTATTATTATTTTGGTTATGAATGATGCATTTCTGAGCTGTTATTCAAAGTGTTGTGAGTAAGCAGACAGTGATGATTTGATTAATTTGACACAAATGATTCTAGATATGCAATCTATTTATGGCAAGTTATAATAGGAAATTGTCATTCAGTCAGTTGCTTATGTTGGATATTAGACTGTTTCCTGGTGTGTAAGTACAAGACAAAGCCTGCTAATCGATTAACCCTCCCTGCATGTGTCAGAGAATGTTTTTCTTAATTAGTTCAGTTCACAGACGCTCTTCATTAATTTCTTCATCAGCTGTTTGTGCATGCATTTATTCAAGATGGAGCTGGTAAAGAAACATGAGTCATGGTGGCGAATTCCTGCTTTTTGGTGCAGCGCAATGTGACATAACACTCACATGGGCTTTTTTTTTTTTTTCTTTTGTCACAGAAGTTGAGTGTATAATTCACTTGTGAGGCAGTATGTCTAACTTTACCCATAAAGACAGCGTATTTTTCTGTATGCTCGTGTCCTTTGATCGATGCATTCACACTCGGTCTCCTCTCCGGACTGCTGTAGCCTGAGTCGGTCTGATAAGCCGGTGAAAATGACAATCTGTGTCCTGTGTGCTTTGTAAGAGGAGAGAGTCAAGAGTGTGAAATTGTTATTAACTGTGGGTCTTAATTGGTGTGTTGTCTTTACTTGCAAGCTGTCAGAGACCCTGCAGGTCCAGACTCCCGCAGTGCCCCCGGGGCAATGCCAGCCCCCTCGGTTGGTGGGCAAGCCCAAAGCCAGGGAGGTGCAACTGCGCTGGGGTGAGTCATTCCTCTCCAACTTAGATCTGTGTGGGATGCATCTCTGGCTTCTGTTGATGCATTTATTTGTCTTGTGAACAAACCTCAAAGCACTAATCTTTGATTGTACAGTTACTATTATTTTGCTGTTTGTGCATTTTAGCTTTGTTTATACACTGTTATTTTTCTTGGACAGTGCTTCTTTTTTTCTCCCAAAGTGTATTGATCTTTATAAATACTTGTTTGTACAAATTTCCTAGGTGTCCCTCAGGTAGACGGAGGAAGCCCGGTCTCTTGCTACAGTATAGAAATGAGCGGGCCACAGTCTGAGGAAAGCAAAGAGGTTTACCAGGGTCCAGAGCTGGACTGCTCTGTAGGAGGGTTAATGCCTGGCAAAACCTATAGTTTCCGGCTCAAGGCAGCAAACAAGGCTGGGGTGAGAGACTATTAATACTGAATAACACTGCAAGGGATTTAATTATTTTTTTCCAGTGTGCTTTGAACAGTCTCAATAAATACATTTTAAAAGTGTCATTTGGAAATTTCTGGTTGTATAAACTAGTTTTGTTCTTTTCATGTGAAAAGTTTGGCCCTCTTTCGGAGCGCTTTGAGGTTACGACTGGCCCCGGGGCCCCTGAGCAGTGCAAAGCTCCCTCCACCACATGCAAGTCCTCCAGCTGTGTTGTTGTGAGCTGGGAGGTAAGACTGGCTGCCTCAAGTAATGTGTTGAAAATTGAGTGTTGTATGCATCATCCTCATTCATTTCTTGTTTGGGATCTAGGCCCCTCCTTGTAATGGAGCTCCGGTGACAGAGTTTCGTCTGGAGTGGGGAGCAGCTGAGGGTAGCATGCAGATTTGTTATAGTGGACCAGGCCTCAGTCATGAAATGAAAGGCCTACTGCCTGCAACCAACTACTTCTGCCGGGTGCAAGTGAGTGCTTCATTATTTACGATTTTATTTCTCGATTTCTAGCCCCCCTTTTTTTCAGTCTTCACCATGGTTAAAATAAAAGTCTAAAGCAGAATTATACATCATCTTTCACTATATAAAGACTATTATGCTATCTTATGACCTTATTTAAGTGTGATATATTCTCTGAGAATCTCATAATAATCCGAAGGACTCCCAGTAAAATGAATAATTCTAACTTTAATTTAATTTGAGAACATAAAACTGACTAGGCCAGCACAGTAGGAAATAACTGAAACAGTTCTGCATCAGTTCTCTTATCCTTTGAGACACCACTTTCTGCCAGAGTGGAATAGTTCTTTTCAGTTTTGTTTTTGTTTTGTTTTTTAATGTCAGTACTTGTAATAATTTCTGCAGCGTTACTAAATGTCATCATTTGAGGTTTTCTCCAATTTTGGGGATGTTATCATTTGGATAGTTGTTTGGTGCATTTAATTTTTAGCATATTCTTGACTGAAGAGTAAAATTGTTTACGTTTACATTGGAACTCCATCTTGTGGTCAAACGTAAATGCTGCACAGGTGTTCTTCCACACCACAAGTGGTACTTGATATCAACTTCTTGGGCGCACTCTTGTTTCTTGTTGATAGGCTGTGAACGTGGCTGGTGTGGGTCCCTTCAGCGAGGCAGTGTTTTGCCTGACGCCCTGCACTGTGCCTGCTGCTGTCAGCAACATATACGTGCTCAAAGAGTCTGAGCTGCGAAGTTACGATACTCCAGTGGATGCGGATGAAGATGAGGAAGAGGAGGAGAGTGAGTCCCGGCCACAGCCGGTCTACTCTCCGTCCACCTGCCTGGGTATTTGCTGGGACCCTCCATGCGATCACGGCTCTGAGATCAATTCCTACCTGATTGACATCGGAGAGCGACAACCTATCGTTGTTGGTCCGGTCACCAAACACGTCATCCAAAATCTACAGCCTGACACCAGCTACAGGTTGGTGCAAGTTTTAAAGGTAGCATCGTAGTTATGCTACACCACTAAGAACCTTCCAGATGTAAGGCAGAAAGAGCCGTTTTTAAATTATGTCTCAGTGCTCATGCGGAATAACATGTGATACAAATTGGACACGCCACGCTTTTAGATTCAGTTGGTCTGTGATGCTTTGTTCCAAAAAATGTCAAAGGGGACAACTTGGGCAGATGTAATTGGTTACATCTGTAAACCTTGTCTATTGTGAAGAGGGCTGGCAACTGTTTAGAAAGCAGTTGGGTTCCAGACAAGACATCAAACATTTTTTTGTTGGCTGGATATTTGAATGCGTTTTATTATTCTAAACAAGACAGAAATACTGACAGAGTTCATGGATTAACATTTTAAGAGGGACTGAGATGAATGAATTTGTTGTCAACTTTCAGTGAATTTGTACAGAAAATATAAAATCAAGGACATAAAGGTCCTCTGGTTGTCAGTGCAGTGTTTTACGACACCTTTCCAGCTCTCTGGTGTCATGTCTTCTTCTTCTTCTTCTTCTTCTTCTTCTTCAGGATTCGAATCCAAGCCCTTAATAGCCTGGGAGCAGGCCCCTTTAGTCACACCTTTAAGCTGAAGACAAAGCCCCTGCCCCCACAGCCCCCCCGCCTGGAGTGCACCGCCTTCAGCCACCAGACCCTCAGGCTCAAGTGGGGTGACGGCCCAGCCAAAGCCACCTCAGATGCCCTTCAGTATCAGCTGCACATGGGGGACAAGAATGGCAGGTTAGTCGGTCATTATTCAGGTGGGAGAAAGCGATCTGACAAGAGATTAACCAATAAGAAGGGAGACTGGAGTTTGAGCAATAGCTGCAGATAACTGTATTCAGGAGGGCGGGGTGATTGGAAAATAAAGCAGCAGACAAATTGCCTTGGAAGCAGAAGGAGACAGGAGCTGATGATATGCCTTTTGCCACTCTGTACTTTCAGATAGAGAAGTCACTCATGCCATTTGCTTTTTCTAATATTTATCCTTTGCTCATTAAATCCTTTCTCTTTTTCCATGTTCCTGTCATTGCAGATTTATATCCTTGTATAAAGGACCATGCCACACACACAAAGTCCAGAGGCTTAATGAGTCTACCTCTTACACGTTCCGCATCCAGGCCTTTAATGAGGCGGGCGAAGGGCCCTTCTCCAATGTTTACACATTCACTACCCCACGTTCTCCTCCAGCTCCTCTGAAAGGTACAGTGCCACATTTTTTTCTTTCTCTGCCTGTCCTAAGCATTAAACAGTTCCTACTATCTTTACAGACACTCACTGCTTGACACTGTGTGCTCATCCTTTAACCTGAGGTGACCCAAACTTGACTTGCATTTGAGTTAGACCAAACTGCCAGAGATTCACTCGCCTGCTCTCATCAAAAGTCGTGTAGATCAGCTCTGTGGTCTGGTCTCTGCCAGCCTCTGCAGAGCCTCTTTTGATCCTACGCGTTGAAGTCAGTAATGAGGATGTAGGCTTTATTCTCAGTGCAGCACCTCTTTTGAATCAAGCAGTCATGTGCCAGATTGTCAGTGTTACTCAACACTGCTGGTCTCCCCACACAGTGAAGTGGACTCTCAAATATAGACAGTTTGAATTTAGACAAGCCATTTCAGCATTGAGTTTAACGTCTGATATCACAAAGGCACAAAAGACTAAAATGCTACTTGCTGCTCCATCTCTTCATGCATTACCAGGCCACTTTCAGCCAGTCCAGTACAACCACGTATTTTTATTGTTTTTGCTCAAATTGCCACCTACCTAAGCAAGAGCGTGACTCACAGTTAGGTACTCTGCTAATGGGGAACAGTCACATTAAGTTCTCTAAAATGCTCTTTTTTTTTATCCATCAGCTTGAGTCACTGTTCATATAAAAGCAAGTACTCTTGTATTAAAGCTAGGAGTGTCTGAAGGAGCTCCATTTTCAGAAATCCCCCAAAGCTCGCATTCAAAGTGGGAGTTTACTTCATGTTTGAAAAGTGTTTGGGAACTTTGATGTCTCTTACTATTTTGTCAACAAAGCTACATCCCGTTATTTTGTAGAATACGCATTATGGGTTCACTTCAAATGGTGTTTTGGTTACTTTAATCCAGAGAAGCCTTTTTACACATCTCCCTTGCAGTAATGTACCACCCTTCAAAGGGAATCGAAGATAAATAGCAGTTCAGTTTACCTGTGTTTAAATGAAGCCATTTTAGCCTGGATATAACCACCGGTAGCGTTTTAGATGTTGAGTAGCCAGAATTGACCATGTTTGGATCAGAGGGAGGACTTGGATCAGTTTGCAAAGCAGGCTACTGTTATAAACGGTGCTAATTGCAAACACACATGGCTGCTAACTAGTGTTAAGTAACACACTAATAAAATACCAGATTTTAATCTTCAAAACTCAAGTGCAATTTGATGCAGACTTCTTGGACAGGCACACAGCAAGACTGCATTGATTGATTATTGGTTAGATATTTCACTCACATTAAAGTTGCCATCAAGGGGAAACTGTCAGGCTCTAAAGAATGTATTTGCTGGCCATTCAACATGGGAGTCCATGTGGATTGACTGCAGTGTTTAATATTTTAGCACTGGCCTAATTTTTTTGATGCAGAGGGTGTTGCATAGGTCTACATGTGTGTACCTTTCTAATGCTGTCAGTGATGTTGTGTTGTTTTTGATGTTGTTGGGTTTTTTTTTTTTTTGTTTGTTTTTTTACATTTCTATTAGTCTGTTTTAAAGCAGTTAAATAAGTAGTCGCCTGTATTGCTTGTCTTCATCACAGCTCATTGTTTTCTCTCTTTCATTTCCAACCTCACCCTCCAGCCCCTAAAGTGGAGCGTCTGGATGATAACTCCTGCGAAGTCACGTGGGAGGCCCTGCCGCCTATGAAGGGGGACCCAGTAATCTACAGCTTGCAGTGTATGATAGGAAATTCAGATTTTAAACAGGTACAGATGTTGTTGTGTTAAGGTTTCCTACCCCTCCTTTGTGTTTTATGTCCTTCTGTGTTACCTTCATGTGACCCACCATTCATCACAGTGGCCTTTTTCTATGCAGAGTGGGATACAGATGGATCCCAGGGCCTTGATGCTTTTTCTGTGGCTTTGCAGCACTCTGTATTACTCACTGCTGGCTTTAAATTGCCCATTATGCAAAGGTCATTGATCCATGAGGTATATCAGGTGTCTAACCCCTGCCACCACATTCATCCCTCTCAATGGCCTGTGGCCATGTTAACATGAAATAATGGTCTCTGCAGGCTTATGCTAATCGCACCACATCATATATGGCAATTGAATCGGGAAGCTGAAATATATGGCTACCACCCCCTTTGTTTCCCTCTTTGTCAGTCTTGATGGCTTGGATTCAAAGCCCATATTTAAGAAAGTAATTTTTGTATCACTGCTAGTTTGACATCCAGTATTTAAATAACACTGCTCATATCCCCCTTCTGCTGTAATTTTGTGTGCAATTGTTTTTGATTTTGATTTTATGTGGTGGGCTTAATTAAAGTTTAGGCTTCAAATGAAATATTTGTTCACTCATTAAAGAGAATCAAAGAAAGTGTCACTACGGCAACCAAGCAGATCAGGTTCACGAGGTCCTCTAAAAACTTGTGGGTGTGTCAGCTGGACAGACGGCTGAGGCAGATGGCTTTCCACGTCTTCCAAGGCGGAAAAACAGGACAAGTCTAATGAAAAAAATCAAAAATACTCTGTCAATTGGAAAAATAATAAAAGTTAAAAGAGATACAAGTGTATTTTCATTATTTCTGTCACTGAAGTTACTCAGAAGCAGTAAGAGAGATGAATTTTCATCTTCGTTGGTCAGTACAGCTTCTTTAAATGTTTTCTATAATTTTATATACTATTTTTAATCTCTTCCTCTCTCCTGTTCTCAGGCTTACAAAGGCGCTGCCACAACCTTCCATGTTCAGAACCTGCAGCCCAACAGTGACTATCGTTTCCGAGTATGCGCTATCAGGCAGTGCCAGGACGCTCCGGAGCTGAGCGGTCCCTACAGCCCCACGGTGACCCTCTCCTCCCAGCGGAATGATGCGGCGCTGGCCGGCAGCGCGGTCAGCTCAGGATCCAGGATCGGCACAGAGTCCACCCGAGCCAGACAGAGCCTGAGCGACGAGCAGTGCGCTTTCCTCATCCTCATGGTTTTTGCCGTCATCGCCATCCTCATCGCTTTTGTCATCCAATACTTTGTCATCAAATGAGCAGTCTGCACCCCCCAGCTTCAGGGTTATAGCTTTACTCTTCCCTGCCCCTCTGTCTCTCTGTTGTTTTGTATCCTTTATTTTGTACTTACTATTCTCCAGTTTCAACGGAGTAATTGCATTAGCCGAACTGGGGCGCAGCAGGAGGATGGGCGGGTGAGTGGGCGCTAAATGGAAGTTATAAATTGAGGATGTAACGTCTCATTTGGCACCTGTGATACCTTCCTGACTCTCCTTCCTCTGTCTCCCCGCCCCAAGGTTGTGGTATCTGTTGAGTCCAAATGCCTAATCCATCACGATTAGCTTCCTGTGCAAAAGGAACTCAGAAAGCATAGGGATAGGGTTTGCTTCGGGGAAGGGCTGGGGAGAAGTGGCGCATATATATAAAAATGTATAGAAATAGTCATTATTTATATTTCCATTTAAGTGTCCAGTAAGAAACAGTTTTTTGATAGATGTGTTCCAAAAATAGTCTGTAGGTGTAAACCTATGTGCTATTTGATCCTGGGACCTGGTGGGCCAGTGTTTGCACAGTGAGGTGTGTCCAGATGTGTTTACTGTATGTAGTTTGTGCCACTGCGGTACACGGCTGGGAGGGCCTCAGGGCCACACGAAGGGACGTGATTCCCCATGCTGGAGTTTGTTCGAGAAGTCTAGGGAAAGAAGAATCTGAAGAGTTAACCTTGTTCACATTAGTAGGACGTTCATTTAGCACTTTCCAACCTTTTTGATGTTCAGAATGTTTAAGGATGCAAAAATGACTGGAGAAATGTTAGTATATTTTTGTACAGTGAAGACACAAGGATCTGTAAGTTTGAGGGAAAAAAATGCTCAGTATAAAGTTAGAAAACAAAAACCAAACTAACAGTGAATTCTAATTATTTTTACTATCATATAGTTATACTGTAGCTTGTTTTTACAATCATGCAGCTGCTTTACTCTGAGATATTGTTGTTCAGCACAAAAAATGTATGCTTTCTCATATGTTCTGTTTTATTTCGTTCTCCCCGGTAATTGATTTTGCACCTTAGTGAAAGAAAACCTAGACTGACTGCGTCTTGGTCTTGTGATGCATTTTATAGAACACACTTTGAGATTGTGAAAGCCCTTCATGTGTTTTGGGTGTTTTTAAAAGTTGTTGAATCACATGACGTGTCACTGAAACAGCTAATCAGCAAAAATGAAAAAATGAAATAAATTAAAAAAAAGGATTTAAAAAAAGAAAACCAGAGGGAAAAATATCACAAGTTGTTTCAGAGGCCTTAATTGGAGAGGAAAAAAACTTTGGGAGATTTTTTTTTTCTTTCTTAATTTCTCTTCAGTTCTTATGGGGTTTTTTTAGTGTTAGAAAACACTACAATGTGTTTCATTTTACTTTTGCAAAATTCATTTGGTGTTTAGTAAACATGTATAATCATGAGAGAAATGGAAAGTAGTTGTATGTATTAAATTTATTTTGGTTTCTTTTTTTTCAAGTCATACATGTGTGAAGTATATTTTTTTATGATATTGAAGTAATATAAGTTAATACTCTCCAGAACATTAAAAGAAGAAAAAAAATCCTGTCATGAATCATTGAAAGCTGAAACAAAATGTGTTATCATGTACTTCCTGTGAATCTAAATTTGCCTTTTCTCTGTGTGTTAAGTATTTGTAACAGGTTGCTAAGCTGAGTTTTCAGTGGTGATCTGGCTGTAGAGTCTAGTGATTGGTTTTGGGCAGATAACTGCTGTTGCAACTTTCAAAATGAAATGCAGGTACCTTGCAAAACATCCTGGATAATTACATGATTTGGTCCTTCAGACATTCTGCAAATGTCTCCTCTTTGTCATTTAAAAAAGAAGAAGAAAAAAGATTCAAAATTCCTATTTTTGATAGCAATTGCAAAGCGTGCCATTTTAACACCTCTTCACCCGGGGGCTTACTACCTTTGGCTGGGGAGATTAACAAAATGCTACAAAAATGAGTAAAATATGCACAAAACAGACCATTTTTATGTAATTTTAATGTTTGCAGTTACCTCATACACCGTACATTCCAAAATGAAAATTTGTTATACTATACATACTACCAGACATATCACTTTACAATGTTCGTTATGGGAAAAATGTATAATCATAGATATGTATCTAAAGTGTATCTGTATAGTCATGATATCTACAAAGGATCCATGCACAATAAAAGATTTATAATTCTTTGTCCTGCTTCAAGTTTGTACACGTGAGTGTTTGATTACCTATTTGTGCACAACATGACTTTGGCAGCACTTGTTTCTGAACGACTGGTTTGTGTTTGAGGGAGGGAAAGAGCACCTCAACACCCTTCTTTATATCTCCTGATGATTATAACAATTTGGTCAGTAAAGAACTGCTGCTTCTCTGGTGGTAAGGGTGAAAATCTAAATTTCAATGCTGTTCTAGTCACATCCAAAAAAGAAGAATTATGGGAAAAGTTATAAGGGCTATATTTAGATTGCTATACCCTCCTTAGTGGCTGAATAGTGTAGTGGTTAATACATTCACCGGTTAGAGGCCTGGATGATACACCAATCCCTAGGAGGGTTGCATCAGAAAGGACAAAAAAAAAGCCTAAACAAACGTGGATCCATCCACTGTAGCAACACCTTGTGTGTGAGCAATCAGTCGAAATAACAGCTCAGACTCCTTCTTTTGCCTTGAACTGCCTGAATTCTTAGTGGCATCGATCCAACAAAATGCTGGAAACAATCCTCGTGAGATTTTGGCCCATTCTAACATCATCACACAGTTGGTGCAGATTTGTTGGATCTCCTATTTCAATGCATCCCAAAGGAGCTTTATTAAATTGGGGTCTGGTGACTGTGAGGCAATTTGAGCACACAAACTCCTTTTCACATTCACAAAACCAGATTCGGGTTGTTTGAGGTTTGTGACATGGCACATTGTCTCTGTGGAAACAGCCATTAGTAGATTACAGCTACACTGTGGTTATAAAGAAAAGGGCGTGCTCATCAGTGAAACTCTGGTGGGCTGTGGCATTTAAAAGATCCTCACTTGGCACTAAGGAACCCAAAATATGCCACGAAAACATTCCCCACACCATAGCACAAATTCTGACCTGAATGTTGCAGCAGAAACTAAAACGTCACCATTCGATGTTTTTCTAGCCTTTTATCATCCAGCTTTGTGAGTCTTTGTAAATTGTAGCTTTTCTGTTCTTAGCTGCTGTAGCCCATCTCCTTCAAGATGGGACACGCTGTGCATTCAGGGATGTTTTTCTGCATACTTTGGCTGTAGTAAGTGATTATTTGACTTACTGTTGCCTTCCTGTCAGCTAGAAGCAGTCTGGCCATTCTCCTCTGACCTCTGACAAGGCATTTTGCCCAGAGAGCTGCAACTGACTGCTTATACCCTCTTCTTTCTTTTATCATCCTCTGTAAACCCCAGACGTAATTGTGTGAGAAAATTCCAGTAGACCAGCAGTTTTTAAAATACAGACCAGCTCATCTGGCGCCAACAATAATGCCACATTTCAACCACTAAAATCACATTTCTCCCCTATTCAGATACTCAGTTTGAACTTTAGCACCCCAGTGCCAAAATGCATTGAGATTGTGGCATGTGATTGGCTGATTAGATGTTAACATCTCTAATGAAATGGCTGGCAACTGTATTTACAGCTAAATATAAAAAGATTAAAAGATTACAAGTTTATTAACATTCTTCAACGTCCTGATTTTTTTATGTTTATAATTCTATCGTATAAAACATCATAAGATGTAATAACAGGGACACTGAAGCTCAGTCTAGTGTGTGAAGTTGTGGGCATGGGAGACTTTTTGTTCTCTGCACAAACCTACCTAAGCAATACAACTAAAAATGGCTAATTAATGAAGGAAAGTGTGCTTACTCATCTCGGTTGCCGCATTGTGGACAAAATTGGCTGTTGTTGAAAGATGGATTGGAAACCCTTTCAAAACAAGCAAACGAGGCCTCCCTGTGACAGCGCAAACAATGATAGAGGAGAGAGCTTCACACTGACCCTTTCTTAGGTCCGACTGGTTCATCTGGTCATGGGCCAGCTCAGTGTAAACACACAAATACACCCTTATGTCAGTGTGTCTCTTTTCTGAAAGGTTCATCGAGTTGTAATGGATGTGGTGGCTGTGAACCAACAGAGCGAAGCAGCATGGGGATAAATGTTAGCTTGGAAGAAATATCAGAAAACCGGTGTTTCAGGAAGTGAAAGTATCCCTCTGCTATCATGTCTGCAATTAACTTCAGGAATGTAATTTTCCACAAGAATCAGGACAGTTCAATTCACATAGAGGTAGCAGTTTTCTAATATTCATACTTATCAGCACTCTCCAAAGCCTTGAAACGGTCTCTAAACCTTATGGATTAGTGGGACGTGGAGTCAAGAACTGAGGTCAATACCCTCTGGAGGTCACCCCAAGTTAAAGTTTTGATTCTTCTATTAAAAATCCTAACTAAGCAGAAAAGTCAAAGAAGAAAAACCCTTCGCTGTCCCTTCTTCACCTTCGTTGTTGAAGTTAAAGCCTGAGATGATACCTAACTCAGAGAAAGATGGGGCTGGTGGACAGCGGAGCAGATAAAAAACATATTTTTCAGTCACTACTTCCGAACAGCTCAGCAAACGCACACTGACTGTCACATGAATCATTGGATTAAGAGCCATTTTTATATGTTTATGTCTTGTGGGTTCATGTTCAATCCAGAATAATATCATCCTCAATTTGGGGGGGTTCCTTCCGTCTTTTGCCTTTTACCATCATCTGTCCTGTTGTCATTTGATTATAAAGATTACCCAGGCACACACACACAAACAACAGACGCCCACACTGTTACTCCTGGACTCCTGAGGGTGCTGTAGAGGAGGAGCTCCTTTCTTCATCACAGCTCAACCAGTTATTGAGCACCAGGACAGGCTCTGCCACTTCAATGCGAACCTCCTGCCACCGCTGCTCTCCTTCGGCTCACACAGAACCACAACAGGGACTGCAAAAAGTTTCAACTTTGAAAGATCTCTCCATTTGCAAGGTGACAGCACCAGCAAAAATTTATTTTACACCATTAAGTTTCCTTTTAAAGTTTAATGTATCGTACTAGTGGGTTTGCATGACTTACTATAACCTGCAGTGCTTTATTTATTATGTTGTTTTGCGTAAATCTTGTATTTATTTTTGTTAGAGTTTAGTTTTATATTTTTGCAATGCTTAAAATCAGTCTGCATTTTCATTACCACCAAGTGTCGTTGTGGCATTTTTATTATATGCAGTGAGTTTATTTATGATTTATCCAAATTCAGTATTCATATTATGTCTGCAGTAATGAAAAGTCTACGGCATTTGGTTTGGTTCTTTAACGTGAAATTTTTGTCTTGTCAGTGGGTCACTGAAGCCAGATTTTGATCTTTACTGTGCCAGCATCTAATGAAATTGGCATGCCCTGGTCAAGACCTCATGCTGGTGGAGCAGAGGACATGGACAACATAGATGACCACCACTACGAGGGTTCCCTGTTCCCCACCTCCACCCTCATCCCTGTCACTGTCATCTGCATCCTTATTTTCATTGTCGGGGTGACAGGCAATACCATGACCATCCTCATCATCCAGCGCTTCAAGGACATGAAGACCACCACCAACCTCTATCTGTCCAGCATGGCAGTTTCTGACCTCATCATCTTCCTGTGCCTGCCGTTTGATCTGTACCGCCTGTGGAAGTATGTGCCCTGGCTTTTTGGGGAAGTCGTGTGCCGCTTATATCACTACATCTTCGAGGGCTGCACTTCGGCCACGATCCTTCACATCACGGCACTGAGCATCGAGCGCTATCTGGCCATCAGCTTCCCCCTCCGAAGCAAGGCGGCGGTGACCAGACGCAGGGTCCAGTACATCATCTTTGCCCTGTGGGGTTTCGCCTTGGTCTCTGCAGCTCCCACGCTCTTCTTGGTAGGGGTCGAGTATGACAACGAAACACACCCAGATTACAACACGGGGCAGTGCAAGCACACCAACTACGCCATCGTCTCGGGACAGCTGCACATCATGCTCTGGGTGTCCACCACATACTTTTTCTGCCCAATGCTCTGCCTCATCTTTCTCTACGGCTCCATCGGGTGCAAGTTATGGAAGAGCAAAAATGACCTGCAAGGCCCCTGTGCGCTGGCCCGAGAGAGGCCACACAGGCAAACAGTCAAGATCCTGGGTGAGTAAGAACATTTCCATCAATGCAGAAAGTATATATCTCTGGTATGCTGATTCCCAGCAGAGCACGCACATTTTTACAGCTTCTAAAAGTGTCACATTTTGTACATCAGAGAGATTTTTTAAGAATTAGACAGCCACCTGTTCCAGCACTGTGACTCAGTCTCACATTTGCCATCTGCAGATAAACGTTTAAATAATAATCATCACTGATTTCGCACAAAACGGTGGCATTTAATATATTCCATGATCTTCAAATTCTGCTTTATCTGCTGTTGCTTCTACAATCTGCTTAAATTCAAGAGTAATGGCATTATTATTTTTTATATAACTTTATTTATCCACGATACAATGACTCTTAGGATTATAAATCTATGCTGCAAGAGCATCCTCACCAAGACAGACAGACAGACAAAAACACTCCCAACCAAAACATATAAAATAAGTACATCAAAAGTGCAAAAGTGCTCGTTCAATAGTATATAAAGGTGTTTGAATTTCAATTACGGCCAACAACAGGGCAAAACAGCCTGAAGTAACTGTCTCCAAATCATTTAAAAACACCTAAATTCATTTAAATGAGACCAGCTCCTAAACTTTTTGTTGATTTTACAGCTGATTACAGGAGGAGGGAGCTGCTGTTTTTTCCAAATTCAGTGCAACCTTTCAGGACAGACAAGAAAACAAAAAAAAAAAAACTTTTTTCAGGAAGGCATCAGTTTATATCATCAGTCTCCCTTTTTATTGCTGCTGAGGCCAAACAGCAGACACATTGGACACGTCTGAATTCAGGTTTTCTCTTTTCCTGCACTGCCTTTGCCACAGCATTTGCCACACATGTCGGTGAACTGATTTAAAAGCCAGTAGTTTCACCTTAAAAATATATAATTTGCTCTTGTTTTACTTCTGTCTTGATCAAGAAAAAGCTGGTTCCATGTGTGCTGCTGTTGATACCAGCTGGTTAATTACTCTATTGTGTCTGGAGCTAAT